TTATTATATGTGTCTTTGTTATTGTCTGCATTTCCCCTTCCCTGATTTATGTGAGCCGCCCTGAGTCCCCTCAGGGAAAAGGGCGGCCTATAAATGTCAATAAATCACTAAATCACTAAATCACTAAATCACTAAATCACTAAATCACTAAATAATGTTTATAAAGCCTGTCACATTTATAGCAGCACCAGGCTGTTTGAAGAATATTTTATTCTTAGAACATTTGAGAATTTATTTCCAATTAGTCTTCTTGATGGGTAGTTTTCTTTATTATTGGAGGGGCAATGTTTGTCTGTGCCATTATTGTTACTTTTGATTATATGTCTATATCCCTTGGAAGCCTCCCTGTTTGCCCATAGCTCTTTTTCTGAAAAAGTCCAATAAATTTCCTCATGATGTCTTCCCCTTGGAATTGAATCAAAGAGTAGGAAGCCGAGGAGACTACAAAAGCATTGATCTCTACAATGATAGACATATCCCTTGTTCTTTACCTAAATTCAAATTTAGACATTTCAAAAGGAAACTATGCATATCAAAATGAATTATAGTTGACAGAGAAAAAAACTGCAGGATAAATTTTTCGCATGACCCCATCTTCATTTTCTCTCATCAAATCTAGTGTCAACTCTCGGAGCTTCCCTAACCTGCTCCCGAGTTGCCACAGGCAGGGGGATGGGGGGAATCGAGCCTTGCAGCTGCATTGAGGAATTTGCACCTCAGTCAAAACAACACACATCCTAGCCAGCCAAAGTCAAGGTCATCTCCACAGAAACCAGTAACAGACAGAGGGAATGGCTTGTACAACCCGCAAAATTGCTTCGTTGGGGAATGTGACTGTTGACACACCTTGGGGGAAGGGGGAAACAGGGTCAGAGGCAAGGCACGAACTGAGTGGGATCAGAGCTGGCTTCACTAGGTCCGTGCCGACCTGTAGTTCCTAATAAACAACTGGATTTTTCTTGAAACTTTGCTTGAGGCTCTTGCTTTTATTAGGGCATAGGTCGGAACCCTGACATCTAGCACTTTTGCTCATTTCACAACCAGTGCATCAGGGAGCACAGAATGTATCCACTACAAAAAGATTCCCTTCACTTTTATCATATAATAAGAAAGACCTTCAATTGGTGAAATGAGCTGCAATCTTTGAGGTTCTGAAACCAGCACAACTCAACTGGAAAGGCATGTTTGACTGGCCTCCAATAAGTTTCAAGTAACAGAGTCTTCAAAACTTAAGGTTATTAGAGTTACCAAAATCTGGAAAAATAATAGGAAAGGAATTATTAATAACACCAGACAGTTGGGGGTGGGAGAGCATTGGAAGAATATCTGAAGGACAGTGAAGAACACGGGAAAAAAGCTTACTGAATACCAGAGAAACCAAACTGACATACAAAAAGGACCAAATGAAGAACAGAAAAAGAGGCAAGAATTACCGTACATGGTTAGCACACATACACATAACAACAACAACCACAACAAAAACAAAAGTTAAGCAGATAACAAGAAGACTTAACAAAGGATAAGAAAAAAGCTGAAGAAAGAGACAGAGGTGGTAATTCTGGCTGCACAAGCCTTAAGAACAAATGCATAAAAAACAGAATTGAGGGTTAGGGAAAGAAAGTGTTGAAAAACGAGGCAGTGATGTCGATGGAAAATTACAAAGATGCTGTAAATAGCATGAGGGCCAATGGATTTGAGAGAGAATTAGTGCTTTCAGGGCAAGATTCAAGGATGAGAGTTTAAGATCCAGTGTAGAAAACAAGCTAGGATCCCGTACACAGGATGACCAAACTAATTCCTTTGCAGTATTATTCAAAGAACTTTCCCCAAATAAGATGATTGCTGAATCCAATTAACAGGCCATACAACTAGCAGGAAACTACTAAAAGGTGCTTTTTCAAAAGGCAACTGGACTTTGTTTTTCCTTCTGATTCAAGAAGCTTCTTCAGATCTAAAGTTCTGGTGTTTTTGATGAGTTCCGAAGAAGCTTTTAAGACGAGAAGTGAAACTTCCTTCTTCAAGGAAGGAAAAACAAAGCTCAGTTCCCTTTTGAAAAAGTACCATTGGGATAACCATGACCCGGATAACTGAGAATCTCCATCAACATTTAGCAAGAAAGAAAGAGAGATAAATCTTAACCTGACCACTATTTTAGTTATTAATATGATTTAAAGGGAAGAAGAAAGGACAATTTTAAAGACAAAGTTCTCCTTTGACATTTTCACAATTATTGATACTTAGATTCCGAGCCTGGTATGTTGAGTATGTTCATGGAGCACATTACATACTGTAATGTATGTGTGTGACTCCAGAACACTCCCATATCATGTTGTCAGAACTGTGCTAGGCTTAACATATCCACCAGATTCTAGAAAGGACTGAAAATGTTGACCCACCACCAGAAGTTCAGAGTGAAAGAAGGGGGAGAGGAAAAGAAAGTATTTTATACTATGGTCCCTGAACACACACACACACACACACATTGGACTTACAATGCAAGTAAATTATTTGTATTGTTTTCAGCATTGCTTTATAAGAGACAATCCTAAAAATCCTTCATGGTCAAAAGTCAAACCTTTTCTAACTCATTGTTATCCAAAGGTGTTGGATCTCAACTCTTATAATCTCACAAAAATACACTGTAGCTAAGAACATGGGCACCAGGCTGGGCAAAACTGCTTTGTGGTTGTTAAAAGATATTTTTGTATTATCACAGAAAATAACAGGAGTTTAGATTTCAAAGCTCAGTGAGGATTTTTATCACTGCTGAGCATAGACAAAGGTAGAGCCAATTAGACAATTTTAAAAAAGCATTATAGAATGCTTTATTTAAGCCAGAACAAGGATGAGACAGAATGTCTCTTTAAAGAATTCTTGGTGCTTTACAGGCTTTTTGAAGCTAAGAGAGATGAGGAATGCACAGTGCACAAAACTGTCTCTCAAATATGTCTCTGTGTGGTCTCTCTCTCTCTCTCTCTTTCTCTCACTTTTTTTCTGAATAAAGTGTAAGCGAAGGTAAACCTCTGTGATCACTGGTATTTATGTATAAAGAAGGGTGGTATTGTGCTGAAAATCAAACCCTGCAGTTAAGCTGGGAAGCTTCTCAACTTTTTTCCTTGGGCAAACAATACAAAACCCAGAGTAGCTCAGCTCCTATTAATGCCAAAGTATCTGTCAGATTAACACCAGAAACAAAGCACAATCAAGAATATCTGGATAAAAAGATAGATACTCAATTAAAAAATGTACATAGGGATTAATAGCTGTACTATGATTTCAAATATTTTTCCAATATGTAAATAAATTATTTAGAAATATTTCAGTTTTGGTTCGTTGCTTCTACTCCAGCCTTTTTCATTATTCCTTGTTTACACACACTTTATGGAGAATTAAATAGGTATTACAGTGTTGTCCAAATATTACAAACAGGCCAGTATTTTTAATGTCCTATTCCTCCAGTCCCTATTTTGTGTTACAGGTAGTCCTTACTTAACAACGATAATTGGGACCAGAATTTCCATTGCTTAGTGATGCTAATCCAGGCATCATGTAACTGAGCAACATTGTGTAACTGCATCACTTAGTGATGAAATCCAGGCAGTCCCCGTTGCTGTCTTTAGGTGAGGATTGGGGTTTGCTAAGCAAGCATCTCCTCATAACTTCCTGCAGCTTCCCACAATCAAAGTTAGTAGAAAAAGGTAGCAGGAAGTTGCGAACTCCAGGAGGCTTGTAAGCAGGCTGGCAGGCAGGAAAGCAACTGCTGCTGGGTGAGGGAGGGTATACAAACAATTTTGAGGCTGGTGGTGGCTGCTGCTAGATAGAGGGTGTTCACAATATAAATTTCCTAAAATAAATAAATAAAGTTTAATGCTCCTTCTTGATTATGTCCAGCAACAGCTTTTGATTTCATGGACAAAGGAATACTTTCATTTGTTGTTTTCATCTTGCATGTATATTTTTAAGAACAAAACATAATGTAATTAAGAGGCCCTTTATCACTTCTTCCCCTACTTGCTACAAACAGTAGATAATAAATTAAGATGGACCTGCAAACACAGCACTCTTAAATAATGGTGAATTAATGTTTCCGTAATTAGATTTTTGTTTATATATAAACTTTGTTGGGGAATGAAGAATCCATTGCTGATTTCTGCTTACACTATATTGGTTATAGATTGAATCCAAATGTTTAATACTTTGTATCCCATATTTTAGCTTTGTAAAGGATGTAATAATTAAATAGGGAACAAACACTAATGTGTTCATCGCTCCTTTGTAGAGATAATTTCTGTGAGATGTGATTTTGCAAGTGATTCACGGTGAGCTGTCAGGAGCCTGGAACATCAGAGATACAGTATGGTACATAATTTACAAACCCAAATTGATGCAGTTGGTTTCCTACCTGTTCCTTGTGTTTCAACCTGTACTGATTTTTTAAAAACAAGCTGACATTCTAAAACTGAGATTAAAACAGTAAAAATTTGTCACCTTGCGTCTACAGAATATCTGGCAATTTCCTTACCTTTGCAGTTTCCCCTGTAGGCAATGTCTAGCTGAGGGTCTTTGCATTTTGCCCGTAGAAATTCACATCGAGACAAGAAAGTCCTGCCATCAGATGCACACAAGGACTTCTGAGGGGAACCTGTGCATTCCAGAGTACATTCTTTGTCTTTGTCTTGTTCCACTCTTAAAAACTTTATGAGGTAGAAGGATGAGAGAGGGAAAGAACAAAAAAAAAAATGATGTGAGAGACTGAAGTAACATTGAAAAGAGCTTGCATGTTAATTGATTGGTTGACACAAATTATCTATTCATAGTCTTTGCTAAATGACAAACTGTTGTGTGCAAAGCATTCCAGGTTCAATACCAATCATCCCAGATCAAGCTGGAAGAGATGCCACACTGAAATAATAATTATAAAAAGAAACAATTTTGATTTTGATTTGACTTCTTGTGTTTTGACAGTGTTCACTGAAGACTGTTACACAAGCAAGTTCTTATTTGAACTTGAACATCTTGGTTGAAAACAAAATTCACTCCAAAGGCAAGCTTACTTTTCTAAAACTGCAGAGTATTTCCTCAGAATATATATAGCTGTGGGGGAATTCATTCTTTTTTTTAATGGTGGCTGATATTTCTTTGGAGCAATTAAAACTGTAGCAAAAGGCAGAGTAGTGATTACAATAGGAGCATCACCTCAGCAAGCCCCTTGCAAAGCCCAGAAAAAAATTACTGTTTTCCACCATTAATAGGAAGAAAACTATCTATTTTCTTCCACTTGCTTAATAAGCAACAATTTATGAGAAAAATCTACTCTATGTTTGCGTGCATGTGTGTGTGTATTTATGTGTGTGCCGAGATATTTGCCTCAGACACAATTTATATTTGTACTATTTTTTGACTGTTCGCCTGATTTTTATTTTAGATTTCAATATAAATTGACATAATAAATAAAATAAAATAAATTGGTCCAAGTTTCTCTTTCATCAAATTGAAACAACACTTAGTAGAAGCAGGCAATGTAGGAGAATACCCCATACATAGCAAATAGTATTAATAGCAACAAGAATAGCTATTTGCTATTTGAAAACTCCATATGGTATTAATTTTGAAAGACAGAAAAGAAAGAAATAGCTATGGCCCTCCATGACTCTTCAAAAGTATAATCAATTACTTAATTCTATGAAAGCAGAAAGACATTTTATTTTCATTTCCCATAAAGGCTGGCAACACATAAAAGAAGTAAATTCACCTTAATTTTTCAGCAAATGCCTCTATCTTTCAACTGCTCTAAAATACCAATAAAGAATGCAAGGCATGTATTTACCAGGAGATCATAGCTGCAAGGCACAAGGGAGAGATTCTCAGAAAAGGTTCTGAGCCAGAGAATGCCAACAAGCCCACACATACAAATCTTTTAATGCTGCTTCTGTTTTTATCAAGCAAAAATGGCTAAAAGCATTAGAACCTTAATGTTTCAATGTTTCTCTCAATGCCATTCTATCAAGTCATTCACAAATCTTCTTTTTCCCACTGACTCCACATGTGGAATTCTAGGCATATATTTTGTCAGTCTTTCTGCCAGAGGCCAAAAACTATAATGTAGGAATGGGGAGTCACCAACTTGCATGGCTTCTTAGTCAAGGAACTTTGTTTTTTGTATATGTTTTATTTGCAGTTTTGCTTTATCAACCAACATATTTTGTGGACAGTGTAATGACTGGTCTATACATTTTTACACAGTGCTAACAATAATAATACAATTACATGTTGTGGCCCAGCAGGAGCCGTTGGAGCTGCAAACAAACTCCGACAGCAAGGGGCCCTATAAGTCAGCTCTGGAAGATGTGGGGGATCCTGGACAGGGTTCAGACTCCGAGCAGGGACCAGAGAGGCTGGTTGGCCATCAGGAGGCACCTGAGGCATGGAGCAGCGGTGAAAGCCAAAGGGACTGTGCCCATGACATCAGGCCCTGGAACAGTGGTGAAGATGTCAGGCCTTGGAGCAGTGGGGAGGAGCTAAGGGAGTTGGTCCCGGACAGCAGGCAAAGGCGGGCAGATAAGCGATGACAGCAACTATGCAGATACAGAAGATAATTGGACCCAGGTGGCTGTAATTAGGCTCCTCCCAAGAGAGTATATAAGGAGAGACTTGGGGGGGAGGCTGTTTGCAGGATTCAACTAATATACCAATGTTGGAGAAGCTCTCATGTGTATTTCTTATCTTGGAAGTCTGGACTGCTGCCAAAGTCTTGTTGGTGTGTTAATTTACTGTGAATAAATTGTCTAGCAGTAATCTTGTCTCGGAATGCCTCGAAGGAGGGGGGGTCAGAACAATTACATGTACATAGTTTTTGTTTTCCAACTTCTAATCTTAAACTCATTATAATTATAAAATATTATTTTATTTATCAATATGTATAATACTATTTTCTCAATTTATACTCTCCCTCCCCCCCCCTTATTGGAGTTCTTCCATATTCATCGCTGTATCTTTAAACAGTGCTATTCTCTCTTAATGGTTCTTCATCGCTTTATCCAAAGATGTATGTTTAAACATCAATTATATGTCTTACAATGTCTTTAATGACCCCTATTAGATCACCAATATTTTAATATTTCAATGTTCTATCTATCTGGATTGCCCAGCTTACACCTCTCCTCCTTTTTCAAGAAAATTACTGAAATTTACAGTTTCACTGTGTGATTAATTATCCACAAATGAAATTTAGTCACTCTATTTTTGGATTAACAATTGATGAAATATGCTATGCTAAGATTTTAGACTTCTAAGCTCACAGATATTTCTTCAGCATGGGCATGCCTGTGCTTTATTTATGTCAACTCAAAATCATTTCCATTTTGAGGAGAATGAATATTATTCTATTATTTCCATTTATGTGACCGATGATTGTGACTACAGAGGTATGATAAAGGACAAACAATTTAGATCCACAATGCGAGAAATCTTACTGAACTACCACCTAGGAAATCTGGTGATTTTTTTAAAAAGTATTTCACAACATACTTTCATTCATAGTTGATTTTGCTTTATTATGTGCATTTTTTTGTTTTTCCTTCAAGTATTATATAGAAACAATAGTAATGATGATAATAACCTCATTGTTCAGAATTGGAGAATCTTCGAAGAATCTTTGAAATTATGAATTCTTATCTCTACAAAAATGCCTTAAAGAACTGGGAATCAAAACAATTGACTTAATCTTTGTCATCCACTACAAATAATTGTGATTTTTTTTTGTTAAACATGAGATTTCCAAAGTGAGCATAGAGAATCTATGAACCGTAGCTAATATTTATATGCATTTATGTATGCATGTACCAGCATATATAAGGTAAATCCACTTCATTTTTTTTTTGTAAAAGCTGCAGTTGTTGCATTTCATCACATTTCATTCTAAAGAAAATATAAAAGTCTTAAAGGGAAACTATGATAATTATAACTTTCTGTAAATTGTGCAACAAAGTCACACATTTCATTATAAATCCAATATTCAGAACTGGAGCACATGTTTAACAGTACGATGGAATACTAACAAACAATAGGGACATTCTTTGTCTATTGTCCCTCTGTTTGTCCGCAACTTTTTCTTCCTTTCTTTGAATAAAGAACAGGTTCAGAATAGCTAAATCTGCTCATAGAAATAAATCCTTGATCTGCAAGGCTATGCTGCCTTTGGTACATTTTTTTACATGTGTATAGTTTATTTTCATCTCTAGACCTGAACTTTGAGGGGGGAAATATTCCCCCCAAAATTTGCTCCTAACAATCTGTGTCCTCATTTTACCAACCTCGGAAGGATGGAAGGATAAGACAATCTTGAACTAGTCTGGATCGAACTCCTGGCAGTGGGCAGAGTTAGCCTGCAATATTGCATTCTAACCACTGCACTTCTTGACCAAAGACTGAAAACTGATCAAGACAACTATGTTATTATATGGCCAATTGAAATTAGCATTAAATATGCTGCATAACCAGTTCTAACTTTTATTGGTATTAATTAGATCCTGAATACAAGTCTTTGTGTTCAAGAAAAGTTATGAGCTGCCATTGTAGGCATACTTATCAAAAAGTCTCAGTGACTTCAGCAAGACAGACTTCAACAATCCAGGTTACAACTGTCTGCAAAGTTCCTCTATGGCAGCTATGCTGGCTAGGGGATTCTGGGAATTGAAGTCCACAAGTCTTAAAGTTGTCAAGTTTGGAGACCCTTGTTCTATGGGCTTCCTAAGATCAGTCTCACCATTCTTAGTGAATTGAACAGAAAAGAGAATGTAATCAGCAACATCTTCCTATTGTATGCAATACACAGGTGAAGCTACAGCCCAAGTCAGAAGAAGCAGCTAGGAAAGGGAGCAAGAAAATTAGAAGCAGCCCTTTACAAGTATGTCTTTCAATTCTATGCCCCTTTTATAATGAAAGCACAATTTCATTTCTCAGGCATGTACAGTTGTTTAATTATTCTGATAAAATGGCAAAGGCTGGGATGTCTGCAGTGTGTGGTCAAAAAAGAGAAAATGGCAGCCACCACAGGGTTCTTTTTAAATCCGTGTTGCATGCAATTCCCATCGACCACAGGCACAGCATCGTGGGCACTAGGTGGACGATTTTAACAATGAATCTTCTTAACCTACACATACGAAAATGACTAAGTTCAAATAGTACACTAAATCAAAATGAAACACCACTGCGTCATGACATTTTTCTTCTCCGCAGAAGGTTCTTGGGAAAGATGGAAGGAAAAAGAAGAGGAGAATGACTAGGAGCAAGGTGGATGGATTCTGTTACTATGGAGATGAGCGTACCATTGGATGTCCTGAAGGACCAGGTTAGAAACAGATCATCATCAATATGATCAATATTGAAAATCAATGTAGGTGATCAGAAGCAACTTAATGGCACATTATTGATCCACCAATCCTATAGACAGCCCTGCAAAGAGTTTCCCACTAGCTGGTGGTATAAAGGATGTTTTGAAGGACGACTTCTAGACCAACTGCTGTTGAGCATCAAGAGGAGAGATAAAGGGTGGAAGGGGCAATGAACATCTTGTACGCCACAAACAGCCTTTCAAACCCAAGAGCGCTTTGCCTCTATGCCCTTCTCCTCTTGTGGGCATTCATTTGGAGCCTATGCAACAATCCTGATGCTTTTCTACAGATTTTATTCAAAC